CCCCCCCTCACCTGACTGTCTTTGATAACATGGTTTGCCTCCAGCTGTATCTTGAACGGCAGTCCCAGCTCGGACTGGAATGAGGTCATCGGGGAGAGAGTGCCGCTAGTCAGGATCACACTGCGGGTCTTCTCAAAGTCTGAGAACGCCTGGGGGGAGAGAAGAAAAGCGATAGTGCTCAGTTCATATCATGAATGAGTTTTTTAGTTTTAGGAAGAGTTTTACAGCACTTGCAACACAATAAGGTCATATAAGTGCTGAAGACTAGAGGTGTTACAAGAGAGTAACAAACACAAAAAAGGAGGGGAGATAAAGATGATAGATGTTTGAAAGGAAAAAAGAAGCAAACCACACCACAGCACCCGCCAACCATCCACTGAATGAGTTTGAGATGTCGGGCCAAAAACTGTGAAAACTTTGTTTCCTACTGTCTGTGGCCAGAGATGAAGGAAGACATATCACCAACGTCAAACATCACAAGTAGGACAATTCCAAACTGGCAAAACCTGACTTTTCACATTCTAGTAAACAGGATCAAACTCATAATTTTCCTGTTTTACGAAATGATTAAATGGTTTAAACATTGGAGGAAGAGACCACTCACCACGCCGGGGTTCAGACACCAAAAGTTGAGGGTGAAGATTTCCACCTGGGTCATGTGACGCTCTGCGGACAAAGGACCGAGCAGTTCTCAGGGAAACACTTGAACACTTTGACTAACATCACAACAAAAGTAGATACACAGAGAACGGAGTTTTAGTTTTAGGAAAAGTTTTACAGCACTTGCAACACAATAAGGTCATATAAGCGCCCAAGATTAGAGGTGTTACAAGAGAGTAACAAACACCAAAAAAGAAAGAAGGGAGACAGAGATGATAGATTTTCCATAGGAAAGAAGGAGCAAACCACACCAGAGCACCCACCAACCACCCACATTCAGCCTCTGTGTTACGTCACCGCTGTGGACGTTCTGTTCACAACAGCACAGGGACAAATAAGGACAACATTCTCCACTACATTCCCCCCCCCC